TCCACAAGTAGATCAAATCATATCGCATTGCATCTTCTTATAATTCTTCAAAGTTTTACGATATTGAACTATGGCTCCCTTACACTTCATAGGCCTTGATATCCAATCTGTATAAGAAAACACACATCCTGGTTCTTTATTTTTAAGCCATAGAAAAGACACAGCCTAAATAGACTCCAATAACTACACTTTAGATAGCAAAACTGGCCCAAACAATTTCGTATTCCTCCAGTACCAAACAAACCAAAAAAATGAGGGCTCCTAGCTCCTTCAAGCATCCCCCACTTATTCCATACACCACTAACTCCACCAAACCAAATATGTCATTTGGCAAGACACTCTATAAGCCCCACCATCCCAAAACCTCATCCATACAAACCATACCCCTTCACACTCACAAAAAAATATGATGAATCCTTTCCACACCCTCATGACAAAACCCACAACTAACATCCCCCCCCCCCAATCCACATAATCCCCCTCTTACACAAATTCTCCTTAGTGGCCAACCTATTCAAAAATAATCTCCACTCAAAAACACTTGACTTAGAAGGAACATATTTACTCCAAATAATCCGAGACCGTTTCTCATCAAAAACACAAACTTTCGGTGATAAATAATCATAAGCCACCTTTACAGAATAGATACGATCTCTACTATGAATCCATCTCCAAGAATTTGCTTCATCCATCCTTGGCCTTACCCTATTAATCATTTCCCTTAACTGTTCTTCCTCACCAATAGCTCTCCATGCGTAGCCCTCCATGCACATCCACATTGTCGTCTACAATCCCATACCCAAGTATCACCCCTCCAAAAACCCATATCCTTCAATCGCCCTTCCCTTACAATAGTTAACGCAAACAACCTCAGAAATAAATCTTACAAGGGCTTATCTCCCACCCATTTATCACCCCAAAAATCCACACATCTTCCATCACCAACTTTCCATTTAAAACCCTTTACTAACATCTCCACTAACCTTGTAGACCCTCTACTCACACTCACAATATCCTTCCACACACGAGACATATTTAAAGATGTAAAGGAAGTTATATCAACCTCCTTCCTCCTCCCATAGCATTTCTCCCAAATCACCCTCTTCTATAAACCATCCAAACCATCACCTAACCTAAACCACCATTTACCCAACAAAGCCAAATTCCTCCTCTCTAAATTAGCCACTCTTAATCCCCCTCTCCCCTTATCCACACATATAATACCAAATAACCCATGAAATCTTCTTTTCTAACTTTGCACCCCCCCCCCCAAAAAAAAATTTCCTTTGGATTGTAATTAATTCAACAAGCACACCTTTGGGAATCTTAAATAAAGACAAATAAAAAATAGGGAGAGCAGAAAATACCAAGTTGATTAAGGCAATCTAGCTTCCAAAGGACAACAGTGGGGTCTTCCAAGTGGCAAGCTTAAGATGAAAATGATCTAGCACGAAATTCCAAAACTTTTTCTCCTTGGATTCCCTCCAATTGACAAACCAAGATATATAAAAGGCACCTTACCTACCCCACAATGCAAGATTCCAACTACACCTTTTAACCATCCTTCTGAAACGTTAAACCCATACAAATGAATTTTGCTAAAATTAATCTTTAACCTTGAAATCCAATTCAAACCAATGCAAAATAGCTTTCACAACCTTCATATTTTCTGCACGTCTTCCCCATAAAAGCAGTATCATCTACAAATTGTAACAACGACAACAACATACCACCCTTCCCAATTTCCACACCTTTCAACAACCCTTCACTCTCCGCTTTTCTAAGCAGCCCACACAACCCTTCACCAACTAATAAAAAAAAAAGAAAAGGACAAAGGATCACCTTGTTGAAGACCTTTAATGATTGAAAATTTCGATGTCGGACTTCCATTTGTTAAAATAGAAATCTTGGCTATTGAGAGACATTCCAGAATCCACTTTCTCCATTTAACCCCAAACCCCATTCTGTCTATTATCCCATCAAGAAAATCCCAATTCACACAATCATATGCTTTCTCAAAATCAACTTTAAAAATAAAGCTCTCATGTTTCTTTCTTTTCATCTCATCTACAACCTCATTCAAAACTAACACACTATCCACCAATTGGCGACCACCAACAAAAGCTGACTGTGACTCACTTATAATGTCTGTCATTACCCTTTTCAACCTATTTGCTAATACTTTTGCCAATAATTTATACAAACAACCAATCAAACAAATATGCCTATACTCCTTAAATTGCATTGGATTCAATTTTTTAGGAATTAACATCAAAAAAGAGGAATTTAGACCTTTAACTAACCTCTCAGGTTGATGAAATTCCAGCAAAAAATTCACAAAATCATCCTTCAATGTGCTCCAAGCAAACTTTATAAAATTAAAATTGTAACCATCCGAGCCTAGTGCCTTTGACTTATCGCAACTTCAAAGTCCCTCTTCGATTTCCTCTGTGGAAAAAAGTCTTTTTAGACACTCCTTTTGTGCTGCAGAGATTCTTCGAAATTGGATCCCTCCCATTACCAGACAACTCCATTGTTCCTTTTGAAATAATTTACAAGAATACTTAACCGCCTCTGCCTTAACTAACTCAGGTTCCTCAATCCAACCCTTCTCTCCTAAGATACTAGATATTGCATTTTGTGCCCTTCTTACCTGAACACTTATGTGGAAAAAAGCTGTATTTGCATCACCCAAACTAACCCAATTATTCCTTAATTTTTGTTTCCACACAACTTCTTTCCTTTGAAAATTGTTCCACAACTCCTAAAAATATTCCTTTCTCAGTAGCACCTCCTTTTCACTCAACTCATCCTCCTCATTTTTTTTATCCAACCTGTCAATCTACTTTAACAATGTATCAAGCTAAGTCTCCACACTACCAAAAACCCCTTTATTCCACCCTTTACAATCCTCTTAAATAATTTCAGCTTCTGTTTACATTTGTAGGCTGCCCATCCTTCAATCTACAAAGTCTTCCATCTATCCTCCACAAAACCTTTAAAATCAAGGTGTTGTTGCCATGCATCAAGTACTCGAAAGAGCTTGGGACCCCAGTATATATTTCTTGATGTCAAAATTAGTGCACAATGATCTAAAATTGATCTTCGAACACCAACTTGAACCCAATCTCTATCCAATGAACACATTTATGTGGATAGTAAAAACCTATCCAGCCTACTCATTGAAGATCCATCAGGTCTGTACCAGGTGAACTTCTTATTCCTCATTCTAACATTTATTAACCCACACCCCTTTACAAATTGATTAAAATCTCCCATATCTTGTGTCCCTCCGACTCTCCCCTTTCTCTTTGCAACATTTCAAGCTATATTAAAATCCCTTGCTAAAAGCCATCTACCACCCTCTTCTGAGAGTAAACTACCAATCTCTACCCATAGCATAGCCTTCCTTTGCCTATCACATAGAGCATACACATTAACAAAGTTGCATATCAATCGTTGATTTCTCTACTCACCCAAAATCCAATAAAACCATTTCCTTCTATCACCCTTTGTTTAACAAAATTGCTCTTATTCCATATAGACAGCAAGCCTCCCGAATTACCCATTGATTTTTGCATAACCCAATCAAAACAGTCTGAATTCCATAGCGTTCTACACAAAAACTCCTCAACCCTCTCTAATTTAGTTTCCTGAATAAATAGAAAATTTGGCTTCTCCTTTCTCTTTAACACACTACCCAAACCCCTAACATTAAAAGAAATCACCTTCATTACTAAATACCATAACTCCCATACCTCAAAACAAACCAGCCCCTATGCATCAGGCACTCCTGAAATTGGCTGCATCCCTTTCCTCTAAAGCCACCAACCTAGAGATTACCTCTTCATCAGTTTTTTTGACACTGAATCCCCAATCTCTACCCCCATCACAAACAACTTCCTCACTTCATCCATCTCTAGCTGCTTTCGAATCACCTTATTTCGGTGTCAAATGCACCCATCAGACGAAGAACAACTTTCTTTTTGCAATTCTTCCCCTTGTGCTACTGTCTCCCTTCTATTTCTTTGAGTTTTTGTCTTTGTCGTGACCTAGCTGGTGCCTAATTTCCTCGATTCCTCCACCCTAGTATCCTCTGCATAAATTGTTCCCAAGCTTTTGTGTTTCTTCTTTATCCTATCCAGCCACTGTAACTGCACATAATGAGCCTCAAGCCCATTTTCAGATCCACCTTCTACATTTCATCCTTGAAACTACTGCTCCACTTCTCCACATCCAAGCAGCCCAATAAAATTTCCTCCACCTAGCCCAAAATTCTCCAGCCCATTTAATTCCATTTTCTCACCCGAATCTTTCTTATATTTTAATAGCTAAACTAGACAAGTGTCCAGAAGTATATCAAATTGGAGGGTGTACCAATCATTTTTCAATAATATAATTATTATGTATTCTATTCATATAAATGACATAACAAAACATACACTCTTCATTCTAAATTAAGTTTTGAGACCTAACTTGACTCATTTGCCATGTCTAGTACAATGGTAATGTTATTATTGTTTATTTTTTGGTTATATCAGAAGTTATTTACTTGGCATTATAAAGTTTGATGTTATAGGGTTCAAATCCCTAATTTCGACCTTAAATTAAATTTTTTTTTATTTAATAGGTGCTAATTTGGCCAAATTCTTACTAGTACAATTGTAATGTTATTCAAAAAAAGAGATAAGAGGTACAACAAAAAATTTCATATTTTTTATTTTTATTTGAGTAGAAATTTATTTATACATAAGTTTTATACATTACATTTATATGATAATTTTTTTATTTTTAATAATTAAAATTTATTACAACTTTTTTTAGAAAAAGAAATAAATATAATAAAAACTAAATAAATTTTAATTATTTAAAATAAAAAGATAAATAATTAAAATTTTATATAAATATATTATGTAAAATTTATATATAAATAAATATTAATTCTTTTGATTTTTGGTATAATTTAAAAAGTATAACAACCAGAGAAAAAAAAAAGTGAAAAGTACAGGGCCGCTTTATTCTAGTAATAATTAGACAACAAGGCTCATATATGTCCGGTTTATTCTAGTAATAATTAGACAACAAGGCTCATATATGTCCGGTTTATTCTATTAATAATTAGACAACAAGGCTCATATATGCCCGGCACTCCTGGCTCAATTGACTTTTCTACAGTTCAACCTGATTTGGCCACTGGTGCCCGTCAGAGGGCTAATGTTTCCCATGTTGATCATCGCATTCCCAAAATCTGCAGCGAAAGCTTCAGGATTTTTGCTGTAAGCCTCAACTTGGCGGTCCAGTGGGCCACCATTGTACAACTCTTGGTCAGAGTGCAACAGTACCTTTTTCTTTATCATGTCATGGTAGATGTCATTATCGAAATGTGTTGCACTTTCTGTGAAAGAATAAAGATTGTCATCTCCACCAGTAATCGGACAAATTCCTCTCAATGCTTTCGCATACTCGGGATCAATGTTGGTGTCGTTATAGATCCGGTTGCGGAAATTGATACACCTAGCTTGGCCAACTGTGTGTGCACCTATGATAATTTTTCAACACGCGGAAGATTAATTTATTGTAATTAATAACCAAGTTTATAGGTCATTAAAAGCTTATTTAAACAAAATAAATAAATAATGATTGATAGTTACATGAATATATATAAATTAAAGATTTTTTTTATCATATACTTTTTAGAATACAAGTTAATAGAATTTTTTTGTTATAAATGTATAAAAAAATATAAAAATTGATATTAATTTTATTGTTAGTATTAAATAAATAAATTTAATTAAACAATTATAAATTAAATATTAATTTTTTAATATAAATTTATAATAAAAATATATACTTATTATAAATTTAACATGTGTTTTTAAGATATACATTGAAAAAGCCTATGAATTAACTGCATACCAGATAAAGCCACCAAATCAATAGCATTTAAGCCTTTGTTTGCGAAGGAAGTAATGAGATTGCTTAGATTCAAAGTTGGGGCCGGGATGTCAGTATTGGCCCCGCTGAAGTTGGCTATGGGTGAATCTCTTCTGCCCAGAAGAACTGTCCAGGGAGTTCCACCAAACTAAAACGAAACCAAGAGCAAAAAAAAACAGAAAAAGGAGTAACCTCAATTAATTTAAATTCAAATATTATGGACAACAATTATTATGCAGATGAATTTTTTTTACTTACAGCAACAACGGAATCACGAGCAGTAATGATGACAATGTCAGCACATGAAACAACACCTGGGCACAAACTCTCAACCTCGGCTTTAATTCTATCAATTACATCAAATCCCCTGAGAGAATTGTTATTTGGAGCAGCCGTTTTTTCTCCTTTCGTTGTTGGTGTGTCATCCAACAGCACAGATCCGTCGCATCCCTGGTACATATATGTTACAAAACAAATGTTAATTCTTAAATTAAATGTAATGTATATGTATAATTTAAATTGCACAATACTTATATTATATGAAGTGAATCTTTAATATTAAGAGATATTTATCATTTGGTAACTCTTATTTTATAATTTATACAATTTAAACTAACAAATAAGTATGAGAAATTATATTTTCTAAACCAGAAAGTTAAGATAAAGAAAGAGATGACTTACATTAACAAAGCAGTCGTGGAATTGAAGACGAAGCAAGGATGCTCCCATCGAAGGATCATTAGCTATGGCAGCTCTAACCACCTTATCAATGGCAGCAAATGCACCGGGGCATGTTTTATTATAGAAGTCCGGTGTCAACTGAGCAGAAGCAACCCCGAAGACAAACAAAAGTATCCATATCGAGTGTATAAATGAGGAGAAATTTTTGGGAGCCATGGCTTAGAAAACAAATGTGAAGAATGAAAACAAGAGGGAAAAATGATTGAGGAAGAACAAAACCAGATTTCTGTCCGATGTTGAACTCTAAATGTTTCCAAAGATCGATCTTGATTCTATTTATATAGAGCTCCGATATAACCGGACCGTTGTATGTTTCCATGTTTTCCCACGGTCCAAGTCAAAGAATTTGAAAAGTACTAGAATATATACTGCACTAGTTATAAATTTCAGTAATTAGTAATATAAAGGCAAGGCTGGTGATAAGGTAATTGTTTAATTTTTTTATTTTTTATTTTATCTATACGATATGGTCCTCAATTTTAAAAAGATTCAGTAATATCATAAGTTTACTACTTGATATTGTTTTTTTAGCATATTAGAGTGTTAAAGAATTAGTTATTTGACATTATAGAGGTTTGAATTTTTAATTTTAATCCCAAATTAACATTTTTAAGTTAATAAGTATTAAGATATTTAACATCAGAATTTTAAGCTAAATGAAAAAAATGTGAAAGAACTAATAAAAACCAAATATTGGTCCTTAAACTTCATTTTTTTCTACCTTTCTTATTCCTAATCAAAGTAACTAACATTTTCCATTCCCCTTCTCTTATGCATTTTGCATTCTTAATTAATTTTAATATTCTTCAATAAAAATCTTTAATCAATCTTAAGAATTTACTTATAATTACTACTCAATTTATGAGTTTTCTCCTTCATTTTCACTGTAACATTTCCTGTTTTCAGTATGTATCTTCATCATTTTCTTCTTTTTGGTCTTCCTTAGGCATGGACAAAATTTTAATTGAAATAAAAATTCTATAAAAATAAGGTTGTTTGTGTAGGATATTGAAATATATTTTAATATATTCTATAAAAAAATTTAGTTTAAAATTTAAATTTAAACATTTTTTCTTCTTTGTTTATGATCTATTGTCTATGTTGTTAATTATATATATATTCTCTAGATATAGGATCTAATATTGTACATAATTTTTAAAGTAATAACTTTTCTTAGGAGATCAAATCCTTCTCCTTCCTAATAAAAACATTAATCTTTTGAATATACAAAAATATAAAAAATTGTCATTGGATATATATTATATATATAAGAAAAATACTATAAATATTGTACAAAATAAAATAATCTTATTTTCATTTTTAATTTTTTTTAGCTAACTCAAAATTAAAACCTAACATTTATAATTTAAAATTGTAACTTTTAATCAGTTGAAATATTTCTCACTTTATTCATATTGCTTTCTACTATTCCTATTATGCATCATAAACCACTTTCTAGTACTCCTATGAAACAACATAAATGCGATGGATGAAATGATAAGTAATAAATCATCTCTATTTACTAAGAATTAATATTCATCTTTCTTTCTTTCTTATGGAATCCATGGAAACAGAAGTAGCACTGCCACCTCCAGCCAAGAAGATGGTAGAGGAACTGATGGGGGACAAAATAATATTTTCAAATTACGTCGTCTTGACAAATTTGCATAAAAATTAAATTTATGATAAAAAAATATATTTAATACATTCTTAATCTGTACTCCTAGAATACACATATTAGATAAACTCTTTATTAAATAAAGTATTTTAGTAATTTTAATACTTAAATGACACTTTTATTGTGTAGTTTAATATGAAAAACATAAAACACTAAAGGTATGTTTGGTTAGAGAGGCACTTTATCAAAATTTTTTTATTGAGAAAGTAGTCACTAAAGTAGCATATAAAAAGTTAAAAAAGAATTGTGTAGGAAGTTATTAAGTTTTATAATAGAATTTTGTTAGAATTTTGTTAGAATTTTGTTACGTTATTAATTTTGTTGCATTTAGTAAGAAATTGATGGACATTCCTATAACAATTCCCAATATCCTTTTTTATTGTAGAATTAATATATAAAAATATATAAATAACCTTATAATAAAAAATTTTAAAAATTTAAAAGAAAAAATTCCCTCAACCAAACAACTCCTAAGATTCTTAGACGAGGAAAAGAAAGAAATTTACTTTATTTTATTTTTCTCCTCTTATGCAACTCCCCTCCCATCCACTTAATTTCATTTCCTTTAAACTCAATAAACTCATAATATGGTCTTTTTAGGGACACTTGTACATGAGATTCAAGTTTTAAAAATATAATCTGTCTTATAAATTTATTTAAATATTTTAAATAAAATAATATAAATTTTTTTTTATTAAAGATACTTGAATAAATTTATAACATAAATTATACTTTTAATATATATAATTTGTCCTCTAAGACACTTTTTTTTGCTAGTATATATATGATTCCCTTAAACTGTAAAAAGTAATAATTAATAGAGAGAATATAACTTCACATTTAGGCATAGTTAATTTGGTACCATCCCATATAATTTCAACAATACAAAACATTTTTTAACCATATAGAACATTTTTCCTAGCAATGCTACCGACACACAATATTCTTAGTCCAATCCTTTTCTTTCTACAGCTCCCATACGTCGGGCATTGACGTGCAGCTTTACTTAACTTGAACTTTAAATACTACGGTTTTTTTCTTTTCAAAATAATTATTATTTTTATTATAAATTTATTTTAAATTAATTATTTTTTATTTTTTAAAATAAATAAATCTTTTCTTTTAATTTTATTATTATTTATTTATTTTAATTAATTATCTTATTATAAAAAGATTTATTTTATCTTTTAATTTTTTTTTAAAATAATATATGTAAGTACATAAATAATTCCTAAATTTTTTATTAAAAAAAAAGCCGTTATTATAAAAAAAATAGGCAGTAGATTTGTAATTCAAGAAAAGATAAGATTTATAAAATATTTATTATGCATTAATGAATATATCTAATATCTAATGTAATAAATAATCAATATATGGATAAACTCCTGGCCTTCTAGGCCAATTGGAAAGGAGTACCACACCCAACCTAGTGGGTGTGTTTGGTAAACTTTCTTTGAAAATATCATATTTTAAGATTTTGTAAGAATATTTTGGAATTTATATATTTTTAAATTATAATAAATAAAGGGTAAAAATCAAATTTTTAACTTTTATTTTCTCTACCATAATTTCCAACTTGTCATTTTTTTCCACATTTTTTCAAAAAAAAAAAAAAAAGTTTTCCACAACTTTTACAATACGAAACACTACTTAATAACTTTCCTTACTTTTCTTTTTTCTATATTAACTTCTTATCAAATATAATAAAATTAACATTTCAATAAAATTTTAATAAAATATGGTAATAAAACTTAACAATTTTTTATATATTATTTTTTCAATTATTTTCTTAGTAAAAATTTTTTTCATGCTTTTTACAATTTCTTCTCCAATAAAATGTTTTTTTTGAGAAAGTTTGTTTCTACCAAGTAGACACATAGGCTTGGGTTTGTAATCCTCAATCCCTTTCTCCAGTGCACTATGAGTGATCAAAATAAATAAATAAATACAACAATATATGTTATCCAACTTTGTGCATTTAGGATGCGTGTGTTTAAAAGTAAACTTTTTAAGAAAAGATTTTATTAAAAAAGTGGTTTTTGTATAGAAAGTTAGAAAGTATTATTTCTATAAAAAAAATTGTTAAATTTTATAATAAGTTTTGTTACTTTTATTGTACTTGATAAGAAATTGATATAAAAAAATTAGTACAAAAAGTTATTCAGTAAAGTTGTATAAAACTTTTCCCCTTGAAAAAAAGTCAAAAGAAAAGTTTACATATTGAAAATTATAATAAAAAAATAAATGTTAAAAATTCTATTTTTGTCCTCTATTTATTATAATTTTGAAGTATATAAGTATCAAAATACCCTTATAAAATCTTGAAATGAGAGATTTCTCGAGATTGTTTACCAAAGACACCCTCATGAAGGTTAATTTCATTGGAAGCTAATTTAAAAACTTGAACTATAACTTAACCTACAAAACAACACTTACTTATTAGTAAATCAACCCTTGGGGTTTTGTATGTTACCCAATAATTGATGGTTTAATTAGTAAAATTGTCTATTTCTTCCCTTATGGACGAGTATTCAATTCATTACATGATTAATGAGAATGTAATTCTTTTATAAATTCCTTATTTCTAATTCCTTATTTCTAATATGACTTGTCATTCTTAAATAAAAATAAAGAGAAATTAATTTTAATATGCAAATTGATATGATATTTCTTGCCCATTAAATATAAAAAAAGGGATAATATATGTTCCCTCGGGTATGTGGCAAAAATTAAGAGACCTTGAATTTCATAATTCAAGATGAGATCTTGAAGTTGAACTTTGAGTCCTAAATTTAATGGTTTCCAATAAAATGTTTTTTGAGAAAGTCTATTTCTACCAAGTAGACAAATAGGCTTGGCCGGGTTTGTAATCCCCAATCCCCTTGTCTGGTGTACTGTGTGTGATCAAATTAAATAAATAAATACAATAACGTATGTTACCCAACTTTGTGCATTTCAGGTGTAGGCAGGTGGTTAAAAGTAAACTTTTTTAGAAAAGATTTTAACAAAAAAATGGTTGTTGTATGGAAAGTTAGAAAGTATCATTGTAGAAAAAACATTGATAAATTTTGTAATGAAGTTTTATTATTTTTATTGTATTTGATAAGAAATTAATATAAAAAAATTAATACGAAAAGTTGTTAAGTGGATCTCATATAAAGAAAGTTGCATGAAACTTTTCCCTTGAAAAAAGAGTTGAAAGAAAATTTTAAATAATGAGAATTATATTAAGAAAAATAAAGGTTAAAATTTTAATTTTTGTCCCCTATTTATTATAATTTTGAGGTATATAACTATTAAAGCATCCTTACAAAACCTTGGAATGAGACATATCCAAGACTGTTTTCCAAAGACACCCTCATGGAGGTTAATTTTGTCGGAAGCTAAATTAAAAACTTGCACTATAACTTTAACCTACAAAACAACACTTACTTATTAGTGGATCAACCCTCGGGGTATTGTATGTTACCCAATTATTTCTAGCTTAATTAGTAAAAATATCTATTTCTTCCCTTGTGGGCCAATATTCAATTCATTAAATGATTAATAAGAATGTAATTCTTTTATAA